AATTGCTAAAACGTTGCTAAAACGAGGAACTAGCGGAACGTGCGCGGAATACGCGGAACGACCGAGGAATGATCGCGGAACTAGCGGAACGACTACGGAATGAGGCGAGAACTAGCGGAACGACCAGGGAATGACCGCAGAAGGAGAGAACGTGAGTTAACACGAGTTAATTTTCATGAGATAATTTTTAACGACCGTTTCCACTATGAGATATTTTTTAAACCATGTCAGATCACAAAATTATCTCAAATTAACTCACGTTACCTCATAGTGGAAACAAAGCTTAAAGAAATCATTGCTTATTTGTCAAAAATTGTTGTTCCTGTCACAGTCTTGCTGCCAGATAAAATTAAAACATGTAACGCAAGCCACGTCCAGCAGTTGTGTGATGTCTTTTCCGACGACATCAAAGATCCACATGCAGAGGCGGATCTAAGCAACAATGATTGGGGGGTGTTAGAGACTATTTTGGTGCCACACCCTTCAGGTCACTGGTAAATTATGGAAACGCCCATTTTTAAAATTCCGTTGTTAACTTTAAGGTAAAGTCGATAAGAAGCTGTGGCGTAGCCAGGTTTGGAAGATTGGAGGGGGAAAAGGAGAAAATTTTTGCTGACCACACCCTTAAGAATTTAGGAAAACATCCCATTTTGCAAAAGGGTTTGGAAAAGCTATGGCTTTTTTACTTGGCAATTTCGCTTTTTTACATCGTTATATCTGGCTTTTTGTAGCTGACCCCATTCTACAACTGCCTATTTCCTTGACAATTCATCAAACGCTTACATACTGAATTGTGTAAGGCGATGAAGCACTACGTGTAAAAACTGATTCTCCACAGTTTGAATCAAATATCTAAAAATAACAAGCAGAATTCAAATGTTTTAAACTAATTCCGTTCTCCTTGGAGCAAAATCCCCGACAAGCATTTCAGAATCCAATTTTTTTAAGGATTGAAGCGCTTTAGCATTTTAGTTTCTATTTTATCGGGATTGTCTAAAAAACGTGAAAGACTTTTCTATTTAAAATCCTATAACGTGGGATAAATTGTTGAACATTCTGTAGAGTTATAAAGGAGCGAAGCGAGTAGAAAATTTTTGCGACGAAACCCTTCAGATAAGCTTGAAATACATTTCAGAATATTTCTTACAGTCGTTTGCAGTCTTTAAAAACGTTTTAATATTGTTCGAAATATAAAGTCCACCTTTAAGGTACTAATTCTAATGCAAATTTGCACTTTTTTAAAACACCAACTTTGTGGGCGGCCGCTCCCCTTGCCTCCCCCCGCTAAGCTACTGATAAGAAGATAAATACTGATATATAAATTAAAATCTTGGCGTTAATTTGTTACTTCTGACTACCAAAAAATGGTTTTTACCGAATGGAACCAAATTTACCGAAGGAGGCAGAAATATTGGGGGGGTTTCGCACCCCCCCCCCCCCCCCCCCCCCCGCTAAGTCCGTCCCTGTCCAGACGCATTAATGGCAGAAATGGAAATGGTCGGTGAAGATATTTTTAACAGCAAAGCAAAATTTGAAAGAAGCTGCCATGTGGTTGCAAGGGAAATGGAAATTCTACCCAAGTCTTGCTAAAGCTTACCAACTCGCTCTAACTATTCCAATTTCAGTTGCTAGCAATGCTACGATGACGTTTGCAAATATAATGATATCGATATCCTGTAATATTTGTCCATTCATATCCAAGTTGCTTCAAATGTTTAGCTTATGTATGTACGTATTTATTTCCTTAGTTATTTCCTCTTCATTTGTTATACAGTAGATTCGATTTAGATTAGTTGTATGTGTATATATCCATATATATATATGTAAAGCTAGAAAAAAAATCGAATTAAAATAAGGTTACAAACAAACAAAAACAAAGCGCAGTTTCAGCAGACTAAGAATGGTAAAGAACTACCTAAGGTCCACAATTAAAGAGGAACGCCTCGATTTTTTGATGATTTCAGCTTATGCAGTTGATGTCTTGGATTGCCTTGATTTGGACAAAATTGCAGGTGGGTAGTCCAAACTCAAAACAAGGAAAATAAGACTTTAAAGCAAAGCACCTTTGAAATTTTGTTCTCCTTTCCACATCAAATCTACATCAGATACTTCATCTACCCTTTGTAAACGATAGCCTAATCACTTAGAGGGTCTAGTATTGGTAGAAATCCATTAGAGGTTATCTTAAAGAATTTTTCAACTCCAAAGCTCCAAAACTTGAGAGAACATTCTCTGGGTACTGCAAAACTGTGTTGCATCCTCTCCATTTTCTAAGTGACTTTAAAATCAGAGAACCAATTATTGTATGTTTTGGTCATAGGGGATACGATATGTTTCCTATCTAGCACTAGAACGTTTAGGATGCTAATCTGTACTTATCTTAAAAACTTTGTTTCTGAGCGACTTTGACTTTTATGAAAATTCTTGCAAAAAAGTTTGATGATGTAAGCAGATAAAAGATTTGTGGATGATTTATACATGATATGCGCAATATAGTGTTATTTTTTTATACTAGTTATAATTTCTAAGTACTTTGACTGTACTCAAAATTCCCCATGTTATTTATTCATATATACTTCTCTCTTCTAATTTGTTCGGCATCAAAATATACACAATGTTACGGATATGTTTGGTAAGTTGTCACTGTGAAAGCAATTTTTTGCTAAATATAGCAGAAGAATTTCTGTCGGTAAAATATGGTTTTGCATCTAAATATGGTCTGTTGAGTGAATATAGTAAAGAGAATTTACGAACTTCGTAACGCGTAGGGTTCTCGTCATTTATTTCTACGTGTAAGATACACCCACAAGGCCTCGAAGAAAATACGAGAGATGTATTTGTCTAATAATTAAAGAGGACTGTATATATACACTCTTTTTTTTATAAGAACCAGTAAATTTAAGTTCAGGCTGACTGTTCTTAATTTTTTCGAAAATCTGAGGCTGGATTGTTCTTAATTTGTTCTTAAATTAAGAGGGTGTAAGCAGTGCTAGCTTTTTCGCTCTTAGGAGGTGTTCAGGCCTCTTTTGCCAACAAAGTGAGTGAGACAGCCTTAATTTGCTGACAAATTTGAATATTCACCGAAAAAGCACCCACACCTCGCTAAAAATCCTAGATTTTGAGAAAAAACGTGTTTAAAATTGCATTTTGTAGAAGCTCAGCCTCAGCTTTTTCTTAATTTGTTCTAAACTTTTGACCAGTTTTGAGGCTCGTGTTCTTATAAAATTGTTCTTAAAAAAAATGAGTGTATTCAAAAGCAACGAGAATCATATAATTTAACAAAGCTAATAAACGAAATAAGCAACGAATAATTAGAATGTAAGAGTGTCAGAGTCCAAGAATGTTTGAGATCTTTTATTCAGAATTTCCTCGGCTATATAAAGCTTCAATCAATAAACGGAAAGATTTCACCTGGTTTATGTCTTTGTACGGGAAACCTTTGTCCTGCGAGTTCTTCGAGTTTCGACTACTTCTTTTTTGGAATTATTGTTACGTTATTACGAGAAATCATTTATCTTTTCTTTTGAAGTGCTCATTACGGGTGTTTCATTTCTATCTGTGGATTTTTTTCAAAAATATAAGTTTTTATCTGTGTTCCTTCGAATAATTCACTTTTAAAGATGAAAAAGCCATTTCTGAAACTCTCCGATCGCAGTTTTAGAATTGGTCTCTATATCTTTCCAATCATATCTTACTATGATTGTTTGATCAATCAGACCTATTTTTGCAACTGTCAAGGAACCGATAAAAATTCCTGGCATTTACAACAAACGGGCAATCTGAAAAATAAATGATGCTTGGCTTGAAAGCCTTAAAACTTGCATTTAGTTTGACATTACTTGGTTTTGGCTTAGATTTCATTATGACGTCATAGATGACATTTTGTATGATAATACCATAACAGACATGAAACAATATTTCCTGGGTTGCTGATAAAGTCTAGATTCGCAAATTTTCATTCGAATGTGCTTATCCTCGCCAGGGTTGCCAGATTGAAATCTATAAATATCCCGCATCAAGACCTAAACAATCCCAGAATGCAATAAATTTTCTCAAAAAATCCGGAGATTTTTTTTGTGATGTTCTGATGACGTCATTTACCACAGGGACAAAATTTTGACCTTTGTGCATAGACTTTTCAACTTCTCTATCTAGTGCAACATTGTAATTGTACGGATCAAAGCATTGAGACAGAGGAGTTAAAAATTTTCTGGACATTTTTATTTCAGTTGCAAGACAAGAAACAAAAGGCCACCATTTCAGACGAAAAATAGCTGTCAATCCTAAGTAAACCGATGACACTGAAGATAAAAAATAAAATTTATTAAATAACATAACAATGTAACTGAATAAAGTTCGATATTTTTAGGGTTTATTAGCAGTTTCTATCCGAGAAGTCCATAATCAAGAACAAAGTCATCGTCTGCATTGACTCTATAAATTCTTTCTGCGATGAATTTCCTTTTCATAGCATGGGTGACTTTGAAATTATAGCAATCTTCACCGCTCCATCGAAGATTGCTATCCACACGGATTAATGCATCTGTAGTGGGGCTTGCCACTAGCAAAGTGTGAATGATATGTGCCGCTCTTATTCTCGTATGAATGCTTTGTTACTAACAAATCTATTCTGAAAAACTTTTCTAATCTATTCTCTAAAAATTCCCTTAGAATTTTTCCGAGATCTTTTCCCCGAAAAATATTCCCGAGAAAAATCCCAACAGCCCTGAATATTCCCGAGATCTCGGGATAAAATCCCGAACCTGGCAACCCTGATCCTCACTAAACAGAAACGTGCGTGCCAATTATGCTTCGTGATGGTGATGCTAGAGACGGTTCACCAACGGTTCACCAACGATTCACCATCAAGTAACTATAGGCTTCAGTGCGGGTTTCAACGATTCACCAACGATTCACCACCAAGTATATAAGGGTTATAGTCTCTATTTTTTATATAGTGAGTCTGGTACCCAGGGTACCTAAAGGTATGAGAGGTTTTAACGATGCCATTAAAAAACTCAACACGGAAAGTTATACTGAAAATGAGGGAGAGAGGGCTGGGAAAATACAATAAAACAGCCTAGTTGTATTGTGGCTTCACCTAGCCTGTGCTCCATCCAGACCCCTAACTTGAAAGTTAGGGGTCTGGAACACAGGCTAGGCTTCGCCAAGCAAGGTGAGAGCCACGCTATGCCAAAACCTTAAATACCCCTAGATTAACCAAGGGAATGAAAACGCCACTTAAATTTTATTTAATCATCATTTAATGCTTAAGGGTCCTGGGTCTTAGGGTCTAAGGGACTGATTTTACAGTATGCCATTTTGTTTTGTCGTTTTGGGTTGTTCCCACATCAGTGGTTGTTCCTGCTCGGACGACCTCCTTCGCAAAACGAGATCGTCTGAACGAGACAGCATTCGCAAATACAATATGGACGAACGGTTATTGCGCGGGAAGACGAATAGTGAGCAAGTGGGTTATATCTGGAAGTTTCTGGATGAATTAGCCGGAAATGATCCAGAAAAGTACAATGAATTTATAAAGAAGACGCTTGAGGATGGAGAGAAGCAAGGGCTAGGCCCACCAAGCCACTGTTTTGTGATTCAAACAGAAAAGGTAAGGCTAACTATATTAGGAGGCATCCAGACTGGAAACTTTGTTTTTTTGCGCGGGCGAGTTCACGCGCCTGACTGTGCGACTGTGCGTCTGAAATCACGCACTTTTAAGAAATTTGTATTGTTATTAATGTGAAATGTATTCAAATAGGGACTTTGCGCAGCCAAAATGCAAAAGTGCGCGGATGGAAAATTTGAGTGCATCAACAGAAAGTGTGCCTTACATGTTACTGCTCATGGGTATAACAATTGTAGGGGCGTCGTGGCCGGGGGGGGGGGGCGTGGGGCACGTGCCTCCTATCATCAACCATTCCGCAGTTTGTCGGGTGGAAATTTGGTAATTCCCTTTACTTTAACTTTGACGCCAATACTGAGCATCGCCTCAGCATTTTGCTCAATTGAGTAAAATGAATTAAATTGGCCACTGCAAAATGTTAAGATAGGCCAGGTTGGAAAAGACTGATTTTGTGCAGATGCGCCAATGCGACCATCAACACGTTATCAGCTGCAACCTTCGAGGGAAAACATTGGAGCTGCGAGCAACAATGCAATATTTTGGATCTTTGGATCACTAAGCAGTGGCAAAGCTGGCCTTAAGACAATGGTTGTGCATTGTATGGAACAGAGAGCAAATGCGTAGCCTGCAGAAAAATTACACACAACCACACCCTATAGATGCTTGGAAAAGGGAGGGGGGTAATGCCCATTTTACTATGTTGAATCAAATAGCTCTTGTTTGGATCGCAATCAATTCTGTCAATGATTTCAACATCTAAATGCTCTTTCCACCCCATTCTCCGATCTTGTGTTTTGGACATATCTTTGGGACCATGTTTTTGAAAAATTGTGCATTTGAAAACCCCCAACAAACACTACTGATCACACTGGAAAACATTGCAGATGAGAGAACATTATATCTACAAATATTTTTACAAAATCTAAAATTTTTGATAAATCAGCTCATTCAAATCAGCAATGGCTAAGAAATATCCATTTTCTTTCTATTAATTATTGACATTTTTGATGATGTTTCTGAATTAAAGGGGCAGTGTCACAAGGGACATCCCGCGTGGCATCACGCCAGTTTGCGAAAGTTGTTTGGGTGAAACAACCTACATTCAATAGGGAAATCAATATGGAATAAAACAGTTTTTTGTATCTGAGCTCATCGTGCAAAGCTTATGCATTTTTGGATGTTTTATGAAAGGAAACAAATAATAAAGGTTCTTTCTTCAGTCTTATCACCATATTTCTTTTGGATGGTGATCTTTTGCATCGGTAAGGATGGCGATACAAAAAAACAAAGTCCACTTTACGGCTAGGATTCCGCAACTCACAGAGAGCTGTTTATAGAAATTGGCCGAAATGACACCAAAAAACCTACCTTACCGATGAATAGTATAAGCGAGAAACATTATTAAAGTTTGCTGGACAAATTTTAAGCAATCATTTTGTTGTAGAATGTCTAATTCCATCTGAATTCACCAAGACAAACGGAATATCTTCGCCATGATTGAATGAAGCTTCATTTCCTTAGCCTAGACCAAATTAACATACATTTATCGTTTCAATTGTCAGTACATATGCTGAAATTTAGCAATTGTCCATTCCATGTTCGGTAAATACGCTCAGAAAATACAATTTATCGAGCTTATCGATGCACTGGAGCACCATCCGCCATTATCCCGATGTGCAAGTCAGGCTAAAAACCCACAATGTCCTGTGTATTTGGTTTGTTTGTCAATGATAGGTAGGCCCTTTCTTGTTTATGGTACATGGAATTGTGGGATGGTTGTTTTTTGGTTCAGAATTTTATACTTAGCTTCAATCTTATAAGCTGGATTTTTACATCTCGAAAACAAATGTATCAAGGATAGTACTGTTTAGCATATACAAAAAGTTTTGATCCCTGTTTTGAAGTTATAACATGCCATAAACATCAACAAGTTAAGTCCAAGTCCAACATCAAAGGCTTTCCTATAACTTTGGTTGTCCATGTTTAAGAAACTCCATAGTTTTCCTGGCAACAGAAAGCCTGGGGAAATCAAACTGCACTGAGAAGGTTGGCTGTGTGGAAGCCACATATATAGTGTGATTAAAAATCATTTCTAAATTCTATCCATCAGCAAATTATGGTCAAGTTTCCAATAACAGGCAAATTCCAGAGTACAATTTCATTATCAGCAACAATGGTGTAATATTGAATAACAGGCAAATTACAGGGTACAATTACATGTATTAACAAAAGTTATAGAGTAATATTGAATAAACAAGCAAATTTAAGGGTCCAATTTCATTTATCAAAAAAGAGTTGGTGTAATTTTGAATGCAGGCGAATTTTAGGGTACCATTTCATTTATCAGCAAACAAGTTATGGTGTAATATTAAATAATCTTGAGGCAAATTGCAGGATGCAATTGGAATTTCATTTATACACAACACGTTATTTTGTAATATTGACTAAAGAAGAAATTTTTAAGAGCACAATTTTTTCTATCAACAACAGGTTTTGGTGAAATATTGAATAAACAGGCAAGTTTTCAAAGTACAAGTTCGTTCCTCTCAACAGCAAGTAAGGTTGCAATATTGAATAAACCAGAATGGACAGGAAATTTTTATTGTAAAATTCCAACTATCAACAACAGGTTATTGTGTGATTTTTGACAAAGCAAGAAATTTTCAAGTGTACAATTCCATGATCAAGAGGTTTTGGTAAAATACCGAATACACAGGCAAGTTTCAGGGTCCAAGTTCGTCCATCGGCAACAAGTTATGGTATGATCAGCAATGTAATGGTAGGTTTCTTCATCGGTAAGGTTGGCCTTTGGTTTTTCAATTACAATTTTGAAAATCAAATCAGTGCTAGGTTTATGATTATAGTGACGAGATCGTGCTATTCCAAATGAGCATGACTTACCACAGGGATACCAACTGAAAAGTCATTGAAAATCAGCCGACTGACAAGAGCCGTTGGGCTCTGTGCATGAAGAAACCCTATGGCAGGTCATGCTCTTCAGAATGAGCATGTCTAACCACAAGGGACCAAGGTGGGAAAGGGCAGTAGAATAATAGGAATAAACTGGACGAAAGGGGTTTTGAAAGTACTTTTTCAATAGAGAAAGTTTTAATCGTTATAATGAATGTCTTAAGCTATGAAAATTTTTAGGCATGCTCAGCATGACCAGCATAACCGCTAGCTTTGCCACTGTCACTAAGAGGTGCGAGGTGAGAGTGCAAGAAGTCTAGCATTGCTGCGAGCACTTGCAAGTTTTCCAGCCTGGAAGATGGGAAGAGTCTCAGCTAGAAAACCAGTTACTCGACTTGCCCTGACAAGTGAAAGAATTTTCAACACAGCAAACTACCTACTATGTCAGTACTCCTTAAAGTGCCTATGAAATGAAATTTAACACATAGTTTTTTTGGAAGAAATTGAAACTTTTACATTTTGTTGCAACATAAAACAAAAATTAGCATGAAAATTTGCAGGGAAAAGTTTGTTTTGAGGTATTTAAAAACAATGAGTGTGAGTGACAAAGCATTAAGTAGTCAATGATTCTTATGCTTCTGATTTCACAAAAAACGCATTTCTATCTCAGGGCTGTTGATCAAACAATTCTGCAAATTGTGATACCACCATGAAAATTGGATATTGCAAAAATGGGTAGTTTGATATGCTGAAAAAGATAGGATATCGACCCCAACTGAAAATTGCCCCCTTTGTCTATTTTCAGACAGGGGTACTTTCCCTTAAGCCCCTAACGAAATTATTACAATATCACTTCTGAAATAAGGTCCAATAGCACAAACCTTTACAACAAGAAGCAGTTTGATACGGTGCAAAAGATAGGATATAGAACCTAACTGGAAATTGGCCACTTTTTGTATTTTTAGGCTGGGGTTCATTTGCTCCAGTGTTTCAAAGGTGGTGTTATTGTATGTCGTTCATTCTTTAGTACTACAACAGGAAACTTTGCCAAAAAGGACAATTTGAAACGCTGAAAAAGATAGGATATAGACCCTGGCTGAAAATTACCCCCCTTGGGGTTTATTTAGATTAAGGTTCTTTTGCCTCAGATCTTAATAGGCTGTATTAATGTATTCTAGTCGTACTTTGGTACAACAGTATGAAACTTTGCAAAAAAGGACAGTTTAATGCGCTAAAAAAGATTGGCCATAGACCCTGAATTAAAATTTCCACCTTCAGCTATTTTAACTGTGGTTCCAAAAGCAACCTCGATTTTGCTAAGTGTACTAAACGCCAACAGCATTTGTGTTTGCAAACTTTGTGATCTCACAGATAACATGTGCTTTCTCACAGTCAAAAACATGGAAATGGGATATTCAAGCAAAGTTTTTAGATGGTTTTGCAAGAAAAAAATCACCTCTGCTTATATCATTAAAATCAGCAAATTTTGCTAATAAAAAATGTGCCTGTCAGACAGGACTTATAAAGATAAAACTGCTAGAAATAAACTTTTGAATAGTTTCTACAAAACCTGATCAGTGGCCATAGAGAATCTCGGATCTTGGTCACATGCTTAATATGCTACAAAGTTTTGAAATGTGATTTTCAGTAAATTCCTAGAAGTTGCTCTTCTATGGCCAGCGGTTCTGATATAAGCAGTTCTAAGTAGCTTAAAGATTGCACTATTCAAATATAATATTACCTCAAAATTTGCAAATAAAATTCTCCCTAGAAATTATTTGCAAAAAACCTCAAATTATTTCAAATGCAATTTTGTGGTCTGTTGTCCTGTGAAATTCAGAAGAATCCCTTCCATGTAAACAATACTGCGTAAGATCTATGGCCAAGAGGAGCTAAAATCTGTTCTGCAAAAGAATGTTTGTAGTTTACAAAAGGAACAAATCAGTAAAAAAGGAAGATATAAACAAAACAAGTTTCCTGAAGACAGTAAAACTCCTGGTTATTTATTTTATAGTCTGCTTATCCAAATCTGTACATTTGTGTAGAAAATGGCAAGCTTGCCAATTTGCATAACTTATTGTGGGTGCACTTCTTTAAGCTCAGATGTATGAAAAACAGGCCCCGTTCAACAATGGGCCAAGAGACCTCAAATAAATGTTGAGCTTGTGGCTTTTTGAGGCTCAGTTGTGATGCAGTAATCAGCAAGTTTTGTGACACACCATTGCTAAGGAGTCTTTCATGCAGTGGGTTTGTCCAAAAAATGTCATTAGCCAATCACCTGCCTCCATTTCAAGCTGGATTTTTCAATGTTTCAATCCAAAACACAGTTGCTGTGGAGCAAAATATACCCCTTACGTTTTTTTACAAAGAAGATTTTTCACACTTAGTTTCTAGAGTATTTGTTTGGTAAAAATCTTCAAATCCTAAGCAGGAGTATAAATGGTTTGTAAAATATCTGCAGGGAAACATCATCTATTTTCTACCATCGCCCTACCACCAAATATGCACACCCCTTAATTAACTCCCTATGAAGCTTGCGCTCATTACACAAGGAAACATTTTAAGATTTAAGTTACCAGATATCTTGTGCAAACAAATCATCCAGCCATCACATATTTTCTAAAAAAATATTAGTATCGTGCCTTTTCTCTCCCCTACACTATCACACAGTTTGCCTAGGCCTCTTCTAAACGTCACAGTCATTGAAATTCAAACCACTTTTGTGATGCCATTAGACATCAACCTAAAGTTTTAAGCCAAAAAATTTTTTGAACAACAAAACATGCAGTTCTAGAACATTTTGTGCAGTTCTATAGACAAATCTTTCCAGTTCTACAATTTGTACTTTAGTGAAGAAAGAAGTCGAAAGCTGTAGAAAAAAAATTGACAAAATTGCATTTGAATTAAATAAAGACCTTTTGGGAAAATTGTAGTTATAGAATTAATCAACTATGTTTTTCAACTTTTGCTTATTTCAAGCAAATTACCTGGAAAATTTGTTTCTGGCCTGCTACTCAAATTGGACCTTATTAGTGTTTTTTAGCAAAAATTTGGCAGACTTAGTTTTGTTTTGTAACTCTAAGTAACAAACAAATTTTGAATAGAAAGTGCAATGCTACACATTGTAAACCCATATGTCAAATATTGTCATCAATCTTAAAGATTGGCAAAGGAATGTTTTTGAAGAAGAAAATTTGTCAGTTCCTTGGAGTTAAAAGGCATTACTTGGGTAAATATACTATGCTTGTGCAGTGTCTGGCAACCCTGTGCTATATGCACCTCCAAATTTTCCTAAAAAAATCTTGTTTAAAACGTGCACACACCATTGAATTGGCGAAAAGGGAAAACCTATTTTTGAAAGGAATGAGAAAACACCAACTTTCCTTGAATAGTCTAAACTATTTTTCTCTTGGAACGTAGTTCCAACCAGCCCCAAAGGCAGGCATGCAAGATTGACCAATCAGTCAGCACTTTGAATTTGAATGGTCGAGTATATGCGCTAGCCCAAGAAGCTCATGAGATGGTTTTGTAACATGTGTGTTTGTCTAGTTTTTTGAAGAAATTGGAAATGGTATGCCATTTAACATGGAATATAAACAAACTAGTGAATGGGCAAGTAGTTGAAGCCACAAAATTAGAGGACAGTGCTGAAATTATAATGTGCATTTATTTTTACTTAAGTACAGAAATTTAGAACTTATTTTTTGAAAAATTGAAAAACTGTATTTGCTAAATTTCCCAGTATGGATATAGAATAAAGATGCATTTAGTTTTTGGGGTTGAGGGGTTTCCTTGTGGCTAGATTTAAGAAAACCTGGTTAACAAGAAATTTATGTCAAAGTTTCAATAACGTTTAATATATCTGCAGAAACCTAGTATACATTTTTACTTTTTTGAACACCATGTGACTTCAAGGTAACTGATTCAAACGCCATATGGCTTTAAAGTACCTAACTGGAAAATTTCACATTTAAAAAATGTTCAGTTTTACTTTCATGATTTGTTTACCATATAGTTTATCTGATATATTTCAATAGGTACCCATACAAAAAGCGAGTAAAGCAGAATATGAAACAGAAACATAATGTTGTAGAAATATGTTCTTAAGTAATTTTAACTGGAATCTTATTTTTCTTAGGTCCCAAAAATAATACCCGTTCGAGATTTTTTCATAAATGTTTGCAAATGGAAGCAAGTACCTCCACCAGAATCGGATCACGATCCAATCAAGATCATTGCCAGTGAGCTCAGGGAAGAGTTGATCAGCAGCAACTTTTGTTATGTAATTGATGTTGCCATAAACCCTGATGTAGTAGAACAATGTATGCAGAAAACAGAAGAAAAGAACATGTTATTGGAGTTGACACTGAGGTATTGAAAATATTTTCTCTTTAACCAAATACTTTGCTCTAAATTTTGATGATTACGTGATTCCATTGCGAAAAAACTGTGTGGATGTTTTGGAACATTACTGTTTTATATGCTTCCAAAATAAGGTTTTGAATCGAGGCCAGCAACATATAAGAGAGGCTGAGTCACTGATGACCTTGCTAAGACAGAATGCTTAAAAACAGATTGAAAATAAATTTATATATATGAACGACAGAGAGTCTGGGTGGAAAATTTTTCCTTCTAGCCCAGACGACAGTGCCATCTCCAAAAATAATTTGATAACTTAAATTTTAGTTTGTGTCTGCTTCTACCTAGCTTACAAAGATAATTTCAGGGACCTGAAAAGCTATGCAAATCGAGCAGTGAGTGTCCTGGTCCTTTCCCTCAGTGTGGCCACACCTCGTTATTCCTACGCCTTATAGTGCAGAGAGCTGGCAACTTGCTTCATTTTAAGTCAAAGTTTTGTCATGCCAATGACTCGAATGGCAGACCCTGGGATCTATACACTGTGACCCTAACCATTAAACCTCCAACGCACCTAACGAAATAGATTGCCAGACCTATAGCTGACCAACTTGATGGAAATATTTCAAGTTTTGTCTAAGCTTTGATGAATACAGCTACCACAACTTCTGTCTTTATTCACTCTTTAACCACAACTGGTGTATTGCAGATGCACCCTAATCTCTGCTTTGTGTTCTAGGTATGTTGAAGCAGTGACAAATTTGAAATTAGAAACTGATTGCAAAATGATAGAAAATGATTACAAAGGAAACAAGGACAATCTCCTTGATATGATGTGTCCCGATGTTTTGAAGAAATCAGTAAAGGACTACAGGAATCCGATTTCAGAAGAAAAGATTTTAAAAAAGCTGAAGAATGTGGACCTGAATGAGAAGAAGATGCCTTCTTTGGACATTGAGAAATCAGACACGGCAAACAGCAAACCAAATGAAATTTTACTACCAAGTGATGTTGTGTCAAAAAATGAACTGTTCTTGCATGAAGCAAGTACTTCAAAAAACATAGAACACAAAGAAAGTGACACATCAAACGAGAAAAAGGACAGTGTAACAAGCAAAGCGAATAATTTAAAAAAGCCTCATTATATTGAAAGGTCAGAAGTTTGCGGTCAAGATGTGTTTAAATGTATCGAAATTGATTTACCTGATGTAACAAAGATAAAAGACTGTGAATTAGATATTGGAGATGTGAGTAATGTTTTTCTTTTTTTGCAAATTAATTCCTGTGCTAACCTGCTAGTGAGCCTAATTTCTTCCTAATAACTGCGATAATTGCTTCTAGAAAAATTGCTAGCCTTCCTTCTCTAAATATAAACTCACATCTTACAAAGATGTAAAAGTTTTTTTCTGTAATCATATTGGTGTCGTTTGACTTTGTGGTTCAAATATGGACATGGACAGTCAGTTAAACCATAAACATTACAGTCAGTGCAGTTGCATTTGCGTTCCTTAGCCGTTCTGACTGAAGAAGGGAGTAAAAGAAGAGATTGTGAAATACCAGGGAGGTGTTATTGGTTTTGATGGTTGATTATGAAAAAGTTAAGCATAAAACATCATCATTCCAATTTAACTTGCTTCCAGGAGATTTTTTGACCCATTTACAATATTGCCAACCAACTATAAAGCAGTTTTTTATCTGTAGCTTTTTTTGAAACATTCCTACGATCATTTGAATAGCCCGAAACGTGTAAAAGTAGCATTTCTCAAGAACTAATTGAACTCTTTCTTTTTGCCCAAAAATTAGAAATAATATGAATTAATGTAGCAAATGAGAACGAAAAGTTATTGCACCTGTAAAAATTGCGCTTAAAATCATTTCCCTAATCCCCTTGCCTTATCATTTACTGTAGATCTCAACTACAAAAGCTGTTGTTGATGTCTCTGATACTTATAAAGGCTCTTATGTAGCAGCTATCTTTCTAGACCTGGCAAAAACCTTTTATTGTCTTGAACATGGTATTCTTGTGCGTAAACTAAGCTGGTACGAACTTTGTAGGACTGAATACAGATAGCTTGAGTCTTTTTAAAGCAAACGACAAACAGTTCACTATCTTAAATAGTGTGATATAAGATATTTTGGATGACGAATCTTTTGGTGTTCCTTAAGGATCTGTTTTAGGCACTCTACTGTTTTTGCCACATATAAATAATCTAATCGATGCCATAAACTGTAAAACAGAAATTTGGCTTTCTAAAAACATGCTGAACCTAAACATCAAGACAATATTTATGATCTTTGGAAACAAGGGAAAATGGAAAAAAACTAAAAGAATTCGACATCCAGATAGAATCAAAGAACAAAAAGCTATAAGTATTGAGGAGTTTTTTTTGACAGTCAATTTAGCTGAAGAGAAACGTATTCAAAGAATGGGTGCAAAAACTGGCATCAAATTGAGAACGAACGAGAAAGCGCTACCATATCTAACATCGCATGCAAAGAGGCTCCTTATAAACAGCTTTATAATGGCATTTCAACTACTGCAGTAAAGTTTGGTCTTCTGCTAGCAAGACATGCCTGAAAAGACTTGCAAGGCAATTTACGAAATCTCAAGACCTGCGAGTTAAAAACCGCAATTAGAGAGAGAAAAGCTTACTTGAGAGCAATCAGAATTTATATATATATATATTGTTAAATTTGGGAAACAACTGGGAAGCAACTTGTACTTTCCATGTTTAATATTGTCTTTGCTGTCTACCAAGTTGTCTCCAAAACAAAAGCACGCAATCTTGTGCACATTTTAGTCTCTACTCAAGCAGAAGGCCCAATATCTTACTGGTCTGATCTAACTGGTAGCCTTAGTATAACTGTATTGATATTTGTAAAGGTCAAAGGGTAGCCATCCCTAGCATGCTACCATCGTCACTATAACTTTGTTCTTATCGAATACTTTTTTAGACTGTATAAAAAGTTCTTTAGAGGGCACCTAGGCTAACTCCGTTTCTTATGAATCGTTCAAATATAAGGTAGCTCAACTTATAATTGTTGTTCTCGTGGATGATAGCTTATTAAAAGTTGCTTTACTTTTGAAAATCGCTGTAGATCCACAACACATTCTTTCGTTCGGTTTGTTCAATATCGAATGCATTCTAAATGCTTCAATCAAAATAAATGGAACTGTTGATTTAACGAATACTGAATTTTGTCTTAATTATATCCTTGGTTTTAGGACTTTCTGACGCTCCAAGTTCCTGGAAAATATCATCTTTTCTTGGAACTGGACAAGAAAATTGACGAAGAAAATACAGAAGCATATTTTGTCCGAAAGAACAGTAAGCTAGTTGTGAAGATGAAAATAGTATGAAAAAGTTTCTTATTACTTGTAGAAATTTTGATCAATTTTATGGAACATTATCGAAGTTTTATCAAATCATGAATACATACTTACCTTTGATGTCAATTAGTTCATGGAGCAGATATGACATAAAGCCAGAAATTTCCAATCTTTTGACAAATTCTGTGAAAGGAAAGCAAAATGCAAACCTAATAATAGGTGATAAGTTGTAACACCGTGTCATTAAAGAAAATGTTTTTAGTTTTTATGCCCTAAATGATCTTTATTTCGAAGATTTGCCCTAGCTCTTAATTGGGCATGAGGTACCCTGTTATCAAAAAATTCATCTTTTAGATGGGATGGTTTTCATGAAAGCGTGCAGGAAACAAAAGTTTTAGGGAAATATGCGTGTGCCCTCGCAAATTTAATGTACAAAAAGATCAAGTTTGATGTATTATTGTCATCTGTACGTTTAACGAAAATCCATCAAGTTTACGAGGAAGGAATTAAGTATAGTAACGTGAAAACGGGGCAACAACTAAGCTATGCGGCCCCCTCGTCCTTCACCCTCCAGTCTCCGCTACATACGATTTTGTGCCCTATTGCTGTCGTTGTTTAAAGCAATTGACAAAAACTGAACTGGCATAAGCCATCAAATTTGACCAATCGATTAGCGTAACACTACTGGACATACATTTATAAAAGCTTTAGATAGTTGAAGTGTTTATCCAGTTTGAATATTCGTTAATTATTATTATTATTATCGCTCATTCATTGGTCAATCTTGATTGACTGATGGCTTAAATCACTTTTGTATCTATCTATTGCCTTAAAATGCGTTTTCTAAATGCACATATATTAAAGCACAGAAAAGCTACACCGTATTACTGCAAACTCTATATGCAGGCTCTATTGACCTAGCCTCCAGCCGATGATATCTTCTTTCAAACACCAAGCAGTATTTTATGATCGATAGTTCTGATCAGTAAGAAAGAATCCTATAGAGTTCTAAAGTGTGACGTCACCAAAAACCTATTTTTAGAATTTTTGAATTTTAACCACATAGCGTAAAAGATCACCATGAAATATTTCAAAATATGCAAAATTAGTCAAATATACCTAAAATCGGTTGAGATATGGCTAATGAAAGATTTGAAGTTTGCTAACGAATCACTGCTATTTTGGCTCTGTTCATGAAGTTATGAACAGAGACCAAAATACAGAGGTTTGATGGGGAAAGAACCAATAAACATGTGGCAATATATCAGCCGACTCGAGACACATTTGACTGATTTTGCACACTTAGAGATATTTCATGATGCTCTTTCAGGCTATTAGATCCAAATTCAAAAATTCTAAAAGTAGATTTTTGTGACGTTATCACCTTGGAACACTATTGAGCCGACAATTGAAGTTCCAAATCCACACATTTCTGCTAGATCATATAATAGTTGTCTCCTCTCGCTAACCTGTAGGCCTTTCCGTAGGCCTTTGCTTGATTGAGATTGGCACTTTGTTGACTTTCTACCGCTCCAAAACCTGTCTTGTTTTCTCTTAAAATTTACGGGAATGTTTCTATTGATACCCTTAAAATACATTCATCTTTATTTGTTTTCGCCATCTTGGTTGAGGTCTCACTCCAAAATGCTCTCTTGCTTTGATCAAACCAAATAAATGCGGTTTGCATTAAATACAACGTTTGGTTCAAGTGCCTTCTTTTCTATTTTATTCGAATCAAACATCACATTTGATGCGGTACGTGAATATACGCCGTCTGAAACATGCCTTACCTTCTTTTCATTATTCGTTTCTTGTATTTCTATATAATTAGCTGATAGGTTCTAATGCCCCTACTGAGTCAGGTTGATTGCCTGTAACTTGGTAAGTTACGTTTCAAAACCAGAGCTTGACATCATAATTTGTCCAAAGTTACAATATTTGGAGTACTTTGCAAGTTTCCATTCAGATTCTCCTATATGCATCTAACATCTGTATGTTATGTGGTGCAAGCGGAAAATTGTCAACATACATTGCCAATCATGCAAAACTTTTTCAGCTTGCTTCATTTACACGTATAAACACGAGCCAGCCTTGCGTTGCTTGTAGTCAGAGTCTTTCTGAAATTTGTCAGTATTTTAAAACACATCTTTACAATTTGCTTCAATCCGTCAACATACATTGCCAATCATGCAAAACTTTTTCAGCTTGCTTCATTTACACGTATAAACACGAGCCAGCCTTGCGTTGCTTGTAGTCAGAGTCTTTCTGAAATTTGTCAGTATTTTAAAACACATCTTTACAATTTGCTTCAATCCGTCAACATACATTGCCAATCATGCAAAACTTTTTCAGCTTGCTTCATTTACACGTATAAACACGAGCCAGCCTTGCGTTGCTTGTAGTCAGAGTCTTTCTGAAATTTGTCAGTATTTTAAAACACATCTTCACAATTTGCTTCAATCCGTCAACATACATTGCCAATCATGCAAAACTTTTTCAGCTTGCTTCATTTACACCTATAAACACGAGCCAGCCTTGCGTTGCTTGTAGTCAGAGTCTTTCTGAAATTTGTCAGTATTGTAAAACACATATTTACAATTTGCTTCAATCCATGCATCTTCTGGTATATGCAATTGAGTCTCCTTTTCTTTTGAGGATGTAGCCTACTGACTGTTCCAAGAAGGTTGTTCCTTATCAACTTCCATTAAGATGATCTTCTGGTACCAAGGGCAAATACAACTGCTCATGGTATAGAAGACATACGATATATTTGAAGCAGACTTCGGCAAACATTACCAAGTGTCGCACTCTAGAAATCTTTAAGGGTCGCATCAAAAAGAGGACTACAGACAAATGCAACCGCAAGCTTTGCAAAACGTTTATAGCAAACCTTGGCTTTATCTAGTTAGCATTGAATTATTTGTATGCATAAAATATTTGAATTATCTATTTATAAAATATAATAAATATTTCTAGATTTTAGAATTTATGTTAATAGGCTCTTTTTGTATATAGTTGGCTTTAATTAGCGCTGCTACTATTATAGTCGCCAACTTAAAATACTTCTGCTTTAAGCAGTTCTAATAGCCGACTTAACATCCCAAGGGAACGGGTCAAAACCCTTGGTCCCTTGAGGTAATTGTCCTTTATTACTCAAATACTTTTCTCAATATCCTGGCTCTTCCTAATAATGTCGTATTCTGTCAGAGTGCTGCATTCACTGTGATATCCAGTTTTCTAACCAATCATCCAGTTTCTTTGTTACACTGCCGAGTACTCCAACAATCACAGGTACAACTATCACACTTTTCATGTTCCAAACCCCCTTGATTTCCCTTTTCAAATCTTGGTACCGCAATATCAATGATGCTGCATCTTCTTTCGCCTTGACCTCGTCATTTTCAACTACACCCACGGGGGTATGTTCATACAATTTTTCCGTCCTTTCTAGATTGTATTTCTTGCATAAATGCCAATGCACCATCCTCGCAACATTTTCGTGCCTTCGTTTATATTCTTTCTGTGCCATCTTCTTACACTCACTGACAATGTGATGTACAGTTTCGCCCTTCTCTTCACACATCCTACAAAGTGGTGACTCTGCTGATTTGTCAATATGGTGTTTAATATACTTTGTTGGGAGAGCCTGTTCTTGCGCTGCAAACAAAAGTGATTCTTTTTGTATATTAAGAGCAGCTTTTCTTAGCCATTTCCATGTCTTCTTTTCATCTGTTGCCTGACGAAGTTCCGCGAAGTCCACGCCTGCCTGACGAAGTTCCCGATTTTCTTGAATAAAAATTGCAAGGAGTTTTATCATCCTTGGTTAAGTTGCTATTGGTATAAATCTTACTTCAAAGTCCATGTCAGCCGCTTGTGCGTGACGTTTTGCATCATCTCTCTACATCATCTATTTGTTTGAATTAAGCTCCACTTTAGAAACACAATATAAATTTACATCATTACGTCCTATTTGAGGGTTTTTAGGTTGATGGATAAAAATGAGATATTAAAACACCCTGCCTTATATCTCTTCCTTATATTTTTGCGAAGTTTAGTGTTTATTCGTATTTTCTATGCTTCTCCGTGATATCAGCATTGTTATGATTTGTGTCTTCATTTAGAAACGGCTTATCTTTGGTTCTGGGTCTTCAGAAAAGTAAGGTCAAGTAAAGTAAACTAGTAAGGTCCATATTCCGCCATTGGAAACCACACCAACGGTTTTGAAATCATATTAATGCCATGTTACAATCTTTTATTGCTTCAAGAGTTGAACAATTTCTCAAAATACTTTGGCTCAGAATGTTCTGTCCGAAATGTCAGAAACTTTATCAGGATTTCAAATGTCAGAAATTCTTTCTGCTATGGTTGCAAAATGTTATCAGGAATTGCAACATTGGATTTGATTTGTAGATGCCTGATTGCATTTACGAACATCTTTTGAGTTCTGCCACGTTGCTGAAAGCTCGTTATTTGCCTGTTATTTAAATTTTCATTTCTGGAACATTTACAAAAATTCTTGAGTTGTTAATAATTTCTACATCACTTCAGGACACACCTGTGTTAAGCCAGTTTGCCACTTTTGTGCAAGTTCCCACGAAAGGATTTCAATAAACTTACAGTATCTGCAACTTTTTTTCTCAAATTATTTTCAGATCTGTTGCACCGCTGCTATCAAATTTTGTTCCAATATTGGAACCCCTTAAATTTTTAAACCAATTTTAGATCTTTTTAATAACAGTCACACTGGCAGTTTGCATTTTCGTTTTGCTTTTTCAAGTTTCAAATCATCAAAACAAGCTGCAACTTTTCCATCCTTTCATGTGAAGAGATACATACTTTTCATGGTGATACCAGCAGCCCCAGCCAACGAGATTTTGCTTTCTGGATCTTTGATCTGAGCAGCATTTTCAGCATTTGAAGTAGAAGGATTTTCCAAACTTGTGATGACCAATCTGAGTCTAAGACTTCAGCACAAATATGAGAATAAACTTTGTCACTTTAAAGCCACTTTAAAGATTGTCACATGCGCATATTTGTATCCATCAAACCGCTGCGATAACAGACATCATAGCTCCAGTATGCATTTGCTAAGACAAGCTTGTACGCTTCATCCACCTGCCTAGTATGTATATTCACGTGGAAATACTAGCCTTCGAAGGAACTTCCTTCGATTTTAGATTTATCAATCTTGTGCAATCTAACTTTGTTGGTTATTAGCTTTGCTATCGTGCTCTTGATTGACAACAGGTTGGTCTGAATAAAAGCAATCAGCGAATTACTCTTTCTTTTTCCTTGTCTTCGTAACAGCTACAGCCACAAGAGGTCTTAAATAGTCTTTTTATAATTTGTTTCACAGTACATTTATGCTTCTATGCTCCAACCTTAGTAGTTTTTATGCATCTAGTGCGATTTGCAATCTACAGAGGCCTGATTTTCAATATTGCTCTCTGTCTCTGTCAAACTTGTTTACGCCCTTTTTCAGCTATTCCGTTCTGCCATTTTTATGAAACTTAGGACCTCCTTTTTTCCAAACCTTGTTCCTTCTGAATGAAGCAGCAACATTCTTTTTGAGTCTCAGTTCTTACGTCTTTCTTTTTGTCTTCTTTTTAAGATTTTACAGCCTTCGGTGTTCTTGCTCTCCCAATTCTACTGCAGGAACGTATAAAGGAATTCCTAGTAAACATCATTTTATATTGACTTAGTTAACGAAAAGTCTTCACCGACGGCTGCCAGCTCAATAACGGCTGCTTCGTTCCTTGATAATTGTATTTGAGGTTCAGTTCAATTGTATTTTAACTTGTGGGTGGCAGAAAGGTTTCTGCGCGTGCATTTTTTGTCTCTTTTTTTAAATATATATATATTCGGTATAAGACTTACACAACAA